ATTGACAGTTCAATACAAGAGGAGGCTGTAGCGCCACTGTCCATGCAAAATTCCCCTCATAGCACACTACATGGTGTATGCCTGTCTTCATTAACCCAGTTGGTGCAGAAAAGTAGGATGTTAGACCCAGTTCATTTCATTTCATTTATAAACAGCTTCAACTTATATATGGATGAAGGTCGGAAAGATCATACAATTCGACTTATGCTCCACACTGACTTACATGTACACCCAGTAAAATATGGTCTTAGCTGTGATTCATTTATGCTCACTATACATAGATTGTATACATGTACTGTTGGAGATATTGTCGTGTATATACATACATGTTATATGTACATATAAGTGATCTTTAACTTATGAATATTTTAGCTAGTCAGTCATTCATCAAGTTAAACATATTTTGTTCTTCACTTGAATGTGTATTGGACAGGATTAATATTTAATGAGTTTATCTCCAATAATCATATTGTGTGTTTTTATCCTCCTTTTTTCATTTGATCAATACAAAATTAAGAATAGCAATCAAAACAAAGTGTATTGGAGCTCGGAGCTCTTATAAAGATTGGTCAAATCACCATACATCCCCCTTTTGCTAATAAAAGAACATTGAGGACGTTGTTAAATGTGATGATCGAAGGTTGATGGCCAATAACATTATGGCAGTGAAGCGCTACTGAAGTATACCAGGTTAATCAGAGATCACTGACTTCCACACTCCTCAATTTGCCAGAAGCCTCCAGTAGAAGAAAATACACAGATGTCTTGGCATTATTCTTGTAAACTGATCATTTTATTAGGACACATATTGATTGATTAGGAAGTATTGTCTATAACAAGGCAATCATTGTACACACTAGATTTCTGATGGTTTATGAAACACAAGGAATCATGACACTTTCAAACCCATGGATTATCCTAGCTATACCGAAACAATTTCCCTTATTTATACATCCAGTTTTATTCAGACAATTACTTGTCAGTTTACATGTATTTTATAACAATAGATCATGCTTTTGTAATAAAGCATGTATTTAAAAACAACTTCCATTTCATGTGATACAGTAGGTTTCATGTCCATCAACTAGTTCAAGTGCATATAAACAGTAGTGAGATTCTATTTGCCACAAACTAGCTGGAATAAAGCTATTAGAGGTTACATGTACATACCAGAACCTAGATACACATCAATTATTTTGCCTTGGCTTAGAAAAAAAATAAATTTCATTAATACATGACTTGGGCTGCATTCAGTCTTTTGTATAATTATTGTACAATTACTAGACATGTATCTGGTCAATAAATAAAGTTTTCCTCGTGAAAATTGTTAAACTGATGTCAGAACCTTTACATTGTACAATAAAAGTGTGCACTTCAACTGTCTACAATAAATATTCTGAAGCATTACAAATTATACAAAATAAAAATAATGCTTGGTTATAATTGTAATGATTACTTTACAGATTTATATATGCATATATGTATACCTTTGTGAACAGCTATACTTGTGTTATATAATCAGCATTGCACATAATATGATAATTTGTATTTATAGTTCAATTTAAATGGCAAAATTCTTCTCTTCTCATCCATCATATCGTGTGATAACTCAATTTATGTTTATTGTATACAACTGCAAGGCAAAGAATCATATTGATATTCAGCATTAACTTTCAGTTGAGTATTTCAGAGTTATGCTTCTCAGTAACTTAGCATTATGAATCATATGAATTCCAGATATTTTTCATCTAAGATAATTTATGCTTGTTTGTATTTGGTAGTTAAAGATATATTCCCATGAAAGTATTCATCCGTTAGCTATTTCCAATAAAAGTATGACAATTTCAGTATATATGGAAAGTAGATAGACACCCAATCTTACTAGAAAAATACTGGTTTCCCTGAAAAACACCCATGGGACCCACACGACAAAAATGTGAGGGTATCCCTAAAAGGCAGCCTGTCTCCTTGAGTGATGCAAGGAGCGCTTCTTATGTGTTGATCTAATTGTTAACGGTTGTGAGAACATTGAAATAATTAAATGTCCAGTAGACTTTGCAACTAAATGGTGGGAAAAGAAGTAGTTGAGAGGAAAAATCTGGGATTTCAATATTTATGGACAATGACTAACAACATATCAAGCTCAAAATGGATTTTCCCTTAATCAAGTCACGTGATAATCAAAGCTGATAAAAATAGATTCTCGCAGCGTATGGTAGTTTTCTTTTGATTAAGTTGTTTTGAGATGGATGTGAATAATAAAATAAAACCAAGTACGAACAATCCAAACCATAAGACAGAATTCGAAGTCCTAAAAAACGTTATAGGCAAAATAGTGTATTCAAGCAAAATAGTGTACCGTATTTTTCGGTGTATTAGGCGCACTTTTTTAACCAAATATTTTATTTTCTAGAAGGGGTGCGCCTAATACATAACGTTAAGCGAATCCAGGCTTTTCCCGTGTAATTAATATAAAGTCTTATGCAATTCAAAAAATGTATATAGAGTTTAATTTCATAAAGAAATATATATAAAGCTTGGTACAGCTAAATATCGGTAATTATTATAACTGTAAACAGTAAAGTTTTGCCCAGTTACTGGAGATCGCAGGTGTATTTGAATCACGTATGGTAACTATGGTATGGCACCTATTTCACAAGGCGCTGGAGAAGGGTGTGCCTAAACCATGCATTTTTATTTTTTCCTGAAACACCTCTGCCAAACTCTGTAATCAGCAAATGGACTGCTCCTCGTGTACAAAATACACGACAAACAGTGGTAACAGGTGTCCGGAAGAGTAAGCTTACCCTGCCTGGCGCCACACCCGCCATAGCTGCATCCAAATTCCAAACTATTAGGCGAAATGTTGGTAAAATAGCGTGATTGGCCAATGAACTGTCGGTATGCAAAATGCACGTTATGAACTGTGTTAACGATGTAGTAGACATTATCAGGGAGATAGTAATAGTATACGTGTCAATTAAATATATCTAGAATAATAGCCGAGAGAGACACGTTATATTTACTAATCAAATCAATATGACGGCCATAAAACTTTTTAAAGGTTTTAATAAGTTTAGTGCGCAAGTATCCTTGTAGTTGAAGCTTAGATGACAAATGCCTCGATCTACTTAAAAAATCAGAATAAAAGAAACAAGCTCTCGCGTAACGAATTAGCGGAGACACAAACACTCCATAAGCTGGTGATATTGGAATGTTACTACTAATAAATGGAAAGTTAACAATCGGAAAGTCAAAGTCATCACGTTTATCATACAATTTAACACTCAGTTTATGGCAATTGTCAAAATCGAGACGCAGATCCAAGTAGGAAGCGTAATTGTCACTGTCAGTGGTGTTTTTAATTTCAAGCTCATCAGGATATATGAATTCTACATAATCACTAAATTTAGGATTATTAAGTGATAAAACGTCATCGATATATCGATAAATGAAATTAAAAAGTCTCACTGATCGTTTATTAGTTTTTACGAGCGTCTGTATGTAATCGTCTTCGTACGAATAGAGAAACAGATCAGCAAGCAAAGGTGCACAGTTGGTGCCCATGGGGATGCCAACCACTTGCTGATATATTTCCCCTCCAAATTCAACAAAGATGTTATCAATTAAAAAATCCAACATCTGAATTATCTTGATGGCCGTGAATTAGTGTCTCCCTCAAGTGGAGCTAACTGTAGACAGTTTAGTAAGGTATAAAGCATACACAAACAGACATCTTTTTTGTCATCGAACTGCAGCAGTTTAATCAGTATTTATTACTTAAAGGACAATATTGGTGCCAGTCATTATCACATGTGATTGAGCTGGTTAAACACATTCCAAATATAATTTTAACACAGAGATCATTGCTACGATAGCTGAGAAATACAGGTTTTCTGAATCGGAAGTGACGAACGCCAAAGGAAAACACGAGTCATCTCTCTATATAACTGTCTGATGTGACGAGTGATAACGGATATATGGGCGAATTTCTGCTCACTAATAATTCCTTCGAGGACCAGAAGATGTGTGAGACTGTGAGAGAATATCTGACAATTCATAAAAAGAATTGACTGCCACTAGATAAGTGAACACGAAAGAAAAACAGAAAAAGTCTGTGCATTACCATGTTTTTATAAGGTATAGAATGAATATACACAAGGGAATGTACAGACTATTTCTATTCTACTTTATTGAATTGTCAGGTATCCTCTTACAGTCCCATACCACAACTTTTAGTCTTCGAAGGAATTATTAGTGAGCAGAAATTCGGGGGTGTATCTGTTATCACTCGTCACATCAGTCAGTTATATAGAGAGATGACTCGTGTTTCCTTTGGCGTTCGTCACTTCCAATTCAGGAATCCTGTATTACTCAGCTATCGTAGCAATGATCTCTGTGTTAAAATTATATTTGGAATGTGTTTAACCAGCTCTATCACATGTGATAATGACTGGCACCAATATTGTCCTTTAAGTAATAAATACTGATTAAACTGCTGCAGTTCAATGACAAAAAAGATGTCTGTTTGTGTATGCTTTATACCTTACTAAACTGTCTACAGTTAGCTCCACTTGAGGGAGACACTAAGCTAGTTGACCAACATTTTAAGTCCTGAATCAGCGATTTTAGTCGTAAACACAAAATTTACTTTTGTTAACTATTCTGCTTCCATTTGATGAAATTGAAAAAGTTTATTTAGTCTTTGTGTGTATGACAGATGTGAAATAGAGTAGAACCACATTACAAAACAGTATACTAATTTTTGCATATGACAGCTACGTGGGGCAGAGATTTATTCTTGAAGTATGAAGTAGATGGATCTCTGTGTGTAGAATGTGCTTTATACTTGTCTTTGACCTAGTCTATAGAGTTTTGGGAAAAATTTAAAAAAAAAATATATATCCATATTGCAAACGTTTTGGCCATACAGCAGCAATAACATTTTCATGAAGTTTCAGTATTTGTTCATATATTCACAATCTTTTTTTATTTTTCAGTTCGTTTACATGATAATATACAAGATGACGGTTTTCACTATCTAGTATTTGACCTGTAAGTATAAGTAAAATATTTGTTTATCAACTATTCGGTAAATATTGCAATAAATTTTATGAATGATTGTTTAATACCAGAAATAGAATCACAGAATAAACCGTTGCCATTTCCAGTGGTGAAATATTACAACTTTAATTTATAATAAAAGCAAAACTATCAATAAATTAATAGTTCTTATTTCGCCTAATATCCCTTTCCAACTACTGGATCTGAGAAGGTTATTATATAACCAAGACTATACAATCTAGTTCTGAGTTAAGTTGAGGATCAAACCTGGGACACGATAACTTTGTTTCTAATTGAGCAAGAGTGGTAAAACTTTGAGTATAGTTTCATTGCATCAATACCTTGACTAAGTTCTATGATGTGCATTTTCTGCATAGTCTAAGCAGAGATAAGGAATTTGACTGTTGATAATTTAGAACATAATAAGTCTGATGTGAGCTTGATACCATCAATACATGTACCATCAAGTTTGATAAAGAGCACTTCCTGCTCAGTTTAAGCAGAGTGATAAGTAATTTTACTCATTGATGCTTTAAAAAAAAGATAAATATATATACACGTAATAAATGAGTGTCATCTATATATTTTGGAATTAAGGCAAGGGTCATCGGCCTCACTGTTGGCTGGGCATTTTGGGATCATCAGTCAGTGTTATACTTTAGCAGAGATAAGCCATTTGATTTGTTGATAATTTGGAACATGTTAATGCTTATTATCCTGCACCAAACACAGTTAAGGAAGGGATATTGAAATGATCTCTGTCTGTCCTTCCTTTTTCAGAGCATAACTCATAAACTGTTCAAAATAGCTTCATGAAACATACATCAACCTACATGTATTATAGTAATTCCGCATTTTGCTAATAAGATATTTTTCAAATGTAATAATATGTGTGTTTCCATAGAAACAAAATTTGCTTAGTTTTTTGTATACAATTTTTATTCTGAAGCATATCTGATAAGCCATTCAAGATATATTTATGAAACTTTGAACAAATATCAACCTAAGACGTGGCCTTTGCTAATTAAAAATTTCTAGGATTTAAAAAAATATTGTGTTTTCATGGAAATGAGTTATTGTTCAACAGCACATCTGGGAAACCATTTGAGATATCTTTAAAATTTTGTTTCACACTTGTATGATTCATACATCTACATGTAGAACTGTTTTTATACGCCCACATTGAAATGTGGTCGTATATTGTCGTCGCCCCCGTCCGCTTGTGGACGCCAGACGGACGGGGGCGACGACAATATACGACCACATTTCAATGTGGGCGTATAAAACAGTTCTACATGTAGATGTACAGGCTAAAGTTAATATCCGATTGACTTTAAATTTATATACAGTGTTTAAGGCCATGAGACGAAGAAGCCTATTGATTTTCAGCGATTTCCGATAATTACTGCCAGAGTTATGGCCCTTGATCACTTCAAAAAATCTTGTGGACGCTCTAGAGGCCAAAGTTAATATCCGATTGACTTTAAATTTATACACAGTGTTTAAGGTCATGAGACGAAGAAGCCTATTGATTTTCGGCGATTTCCGATAATTACTGCCAGAGTTATAGCCCTTGATCACTTCAAAAAATCTTGTGGACGCTCTAGAGGCCAAAGTTAATATCCGATTGACTTTAAATTTATACACAGTGTTTAAGGTCATGAGACAAAGAAGCCTATTGATTTTCAGAGATTTCCGATAATTACTGCCAGAGTTATGGCCCTTGATCACTTCAAAAAATCTTGTGGACGCTCTAGAGGCCAAACTTAATATCCGATTGACTTTAAATTTATACACAGTGTTTAAGGTCATGAGACGAAGAAGCTTATTGATTTTCAGCGATTTCTGATAATTACTGCCAGAGTTATCGCTCTTGATCACTTCAAAAAAATCTTGTGGGCACTCTAGAGGCCAAAGTTATTATATCTTATTGACTTTAAATTTATACACAGTGTTTAAGGTCATGAGACGAAGAGGCCTATTGATTTTCAGAGATTTCCGATAATTACTGCCAGAGTTATGGCCCTTGATCACTTCAAAAAATCTTGTGGACGCTCTAGAGGCCAAACTTAATATCCGATTGACTTTAAATTTATACACAGTGTTTAAGGTCATGAGACGAAGAAGCTTATTGATTTTCAGCGATTTCTGATAATTACTGCCAGAGTTATCGCTCTTGATCACTAGAGGCCAAAGTTATTATATCCTATTGACTTTAAATTTATACACAGTGCTTAAGGTCATGAGACGAAGAATCCTATTGATTTTCAGCAATTTACGATAATTACTGCCAGAGTTATGGCCCTTGATCATTTTGAAAAATCTTGTGGACACTCTACAGTCTAAAGTTAATATCCGATTGACTTTAAATTTTATACACAGTGTTTAAGGTCATGAGACGAAAAAGTGTATTCATTTTCAGTGATTTTCGATAATTTGTTTGAGGTCACAAGGCGAATAATCCTATTGATTTTCAAAGATTTCTGATAATTACTGCCAAAGTTATGGCCCTTGATCACTTTGAAAAATCTTGTGGACGCTCTAGAGGCCAAAGTTAATATCCGATTGACTTCAGATTAATACACAGAGTTTAAGATCTTGAGACGAACAAGTATATTGATTTTCAATGAATTTTTATGACTTGGAACAGCTAAATACATGATACAGTATTAAAAGTTTTGTATACAAAACGTTAGCATGGGGCAGAACTTTATAAAACCAAACAAATTCTAATGGTTTTCTGAGTTATTGCTCTTAATCAGATTTAAGTGTATTATAAATGTTTCATTACGAAAAAAAGAAAAATATGCGATAACTCTTGTTGACTGCCCGGACGATTTAGCTGCTGTGGGCGTATGTTTCATTGCCTGGCAACCTATCTTTCAGTCTTTTGATACTGACATGTAGTGTAATTCTAAAAAAAAAAAGAATGTAAAGGTGGTGAACTTATTTTAAGTCCACTATAACCAGGTAGCAAACTGAAATTCCTGATTCTATTTGCTATACGTCTTGCCATGTCTACCCCTGTACTTCTTTCAAGATGAAATGAAATGATGTTTAACGTCCTACTGTTCTGCTCCTATACTGGTAATGAAGTTGGGCATACGCCATACAGTGTGCTATGAGGGAATTTTGCCCGGGCAGCGGCACTATCGCCTACTCTTATATCGATTTCCAACTGCCAATTGATCTTTTAGGTGCATTCCAATGTATACACGGGACCTTGGTTTTTCGTCTTATCCGAAGGACTAGACAGCTGTCCTTGTCAGGCCCTCCGTCCTGCATAACTGACAAGGGGGAACCACGCCGGAAAATCTGGATGAACTTTCTCTGCCAATGCAGGAATCGAACACCCGACCTCCAGGCTAGCGAGCCAGCGTCTTACCCACTTAGCCGTGTACGATCCCCCACTTCTTTCAAAGGGCGTGGGATGTTGATAACTGAGTGCGAGTGATGAAACATGTGTATGGTTTCATTACGTCATTTTCAGCTCGGGTTAAGCAGAGTGATAAGTAATTTGATGGCTTGATGCTTTAATTAAAAGATATATGTACAAGTATATAGTGCTAAATGTGTCATCAATTGTTTGTGAATGCTCTAAAGGCTAAAGTTAACATCTGTTTGTCTTTAAATTTATACACAGTCTTTAAGGTAAGTCACAAGAAAAAGAAGCCTTGTGGACCCTCTAAAGATCAAGGTTATTATCTGATTGATTTTCAACAATTTCCAATTATTACTGCCAGAGTTATGGCCCTTGATTAATTTTTTACAGTGGTTATAAGGTCCTGATTTGATGAAACTTATAGCCTATTTATTTCCAATGCTTTCTGATAAATATTGCCAGAGTTTTGGCTTAAAAATTACTTTTAAAAATCTTGAGCAGCTAAAGGCATTATATTAAATGTTACGTATACTAAACAAGAGCAGGCTCAGAATTAGAAGCCAAATAAATTCTAATCATTTCAAATAATTACTGAATTGTTTGTTACTCTTAATCAGATTTTAATGTGTTGTAAATGTCTTCATTACCGACAACTTAGCTGCTGTTAGGGCTGTACGATATTCTCGATATACAATGTAGTCATTTATCGCGATATGGTATTTTCAGACCCAACTATGATATCATGTGGCCAAAAATCGTCGATATAGTGGTTTATCGAATATGACCAAAAACTTCAAATATCCAAAAAAAATTATCATAAAAATAGATAAAAAATACACTATACATCAGTGGAAATTTGCCGACGGCAATAAACTATAATAAAACTAATGTTTTGAGAATCCTTCAATGTTGAAAACACTTGTGCAGTGTCCGCAGCCGTTTTTCACTGTATCGTGTATGCGTTACTTTTACTTTGTTTTGAGTCGACAATAAATTGTCAGTTGTTACTACATGTAAAGCTTAGGCCTACTAAACGCCTGAAATTTCCCACTACCGCGGCTAAAAACAAATATTTTTAGAAAACTCTACGTAACTTAATTTCTGAAAGCAAGAATAAAGCGATCTATAAATAGATCGGCCAGGAATACCGCAGCCAGTCGAATGCTTGAATGGAAGATAGTCCAGATCATTTAGTATTTGTTAAACTGTTTGAACTTACAATACAAGGCTTGAAGACCAAATCTACTTACTTCCGCTGCACGTGATATTTGAGAATTTTCTTACCCAAGGTCACAAGCAGACGCTTTTTAAACATCAGCGGTTGTATTTAATTTAATTATGGAAAACTTAGCTAGTACTAGCAGTACTAGTAGACATCTTACCCACAATTCTTACTCACACTGTAGTCAGCTTTAATGCATTTATATTTAATTTATTTAATAGCAAAGTGACATTATTAAATATTGTGATATTTATTAACTATATTGTTGAAAAAAATGCCAATATCAATATCGTCCCTTTTTGCAATATCGTACAACCCTAGCTGCTGTGGGGGTCTGTTTCATTGCCTGGCAGCCTATCTTTTGGATTAAGGTGGTGGACATTAGCCTCACTGTAAGCATGTTCTAGTTTTTTTTTGCAATTGCCCTACTCAAAACATTGCAATCTAATAACAAAGAAATATATCCAACTGTATTTTTATGCTTTGAAAGTGGAAGTATATTGTATTTATATTTGTATATCATCATCAGGCATTTGCCTATCTACAGGTCAAGAGTTATTCACAGATTTTTTTTGGAATTATCACTGATTGTTCATTACATTGAGAATTTTTTGTTTGTATCTCTTGGCGTATACTATAATCAAGTTGTAATATATTTTGTCCCTAGAGTAATGTTAGACCATGATAATTGTGTAAAAACAGAATATCGACTGTGAAGAAATGTGTCATACTCGAGGGTATTGATTGCCTGTGTAAAAATAATGCTGTCATTTAACTATTTTCTCTGTATAGTGAACTACTTATTCAAAATTCCAGACATCTTTTTTATTGTCCCCCGCCTTTCGAAGAAAGCAGGGGACTATTAAAATGGGTCTGTCTGTCTGTCTGTCTGTCTGTCCGTCACACTTTTTTGGACACAGTAACTCTCCTTCTAATTGACCTAGAATGTTCAAACTTGGTGTAGGTGTTTATTAAGTCAATGTCTTGACAGGGTTCGAAGATGAGCATTTTCTGCTTAGGTTAAGCAGAGATAAGCAATTTGATTGCTTGATGCTTTGGGACAAAATAACTTTAGTTTTAATTAAGTGAGAGTGATGAAACTTGGTGTATAGTTTCATTACATCAATACCTTGACTAAGTTCGATGATGAGAATTGTCTGCTTAGGCTAAGGAGCAATAAGCATTTTGATTGGTCAAGACTTTGGAACATAACAACTCTGCTTCTAATTGAGGTAGAATGTTTAAACTTGATGTAGATGTTTGTCTTGACTGAGTACAATGATTAACATATCGAGCTAAAGCTAAGCAGAGATAAGCAATTACCTTGGTCGATGCTTTTAGACAAAATAACTTTGATTCTATCTGATAGAGAGTGATGAAACTTAGTGTATAGTTGATAATCAGTTTGATTGCTCAATACTTTTGAAAAAAATAAATGTGTGATTAATTAATATGTGTCATCTATTTATTTGGAGATTTCGGCGGGGGACATCAGGCTTTTTTTTTTTAAATTATATACACTAAATAATTATGTACATGTAGTGTTATGTTAATATGGAAAGATTTAATTATTTAACTAAGAGTTGAAATATTACATGTAACTCTTGAATTCTTTAATTACAGTGTTTTATATAACTAAGGCTTGTGACCAAGGCTTTCATTTTGAAAATTTTGACATCCTTTGTTAACTTTGAATTAGCAAGATATTTTTATAAGCCCACATTTTCATGTGGATGTATATTGTTGACGCCCCTGTCCGTCCGTCCATCCGTTGTGGACACTCTACAGGTCACAATTTTTATCCGAATTCAACGAAACTTGAAATATAGGTTTATCATGGATTATTGCCCCTGATTGTAAAGAGGTCACAATTTTTATCCGATTTTGTTGAAACTTGTATAGTAAGTTTATAACCCAACGATCTTGGTTCCTGTCGATATTCGCGCATATCGGATTCTAACTTCCCGAATTATGGCCCCTGATAGTACAAAAAATAGGGTTTTTAGCTTTATCCGATTTAAAAAACGTTCAAACATATCACTGTTACACAGTAATTTTGGTTGACTTCGAATTTCATTAAAATTGGGCCAAAACTTCCAGACAAAATGGTCGCCCTTGTACGCAAATAGTGTATAACATCTGGTATATCAACGTTGCTGACCCTCTAGAGGTCACAATTTTGATCCGATTTAAATGAAACTTGAAATATATGTTTATAACCCAATGATCTTGGTTCCTTGCGATATTCATGCATATCGGATCATAACTTCCTGAATTATGGCCCCTGATTGTACGAAAAATCGCATTTTTGGCTTGAGGTCCCTGTAGAGGTCACAACTTTTATCCGATTTAAAAAAAACATGTGAATATATCACAATTACAGACTAAGAGATTTCAAATTCAAAGATTTTATTCTGGTATTGTTTCTTTCTTTTATTAGAGTTACAGGTGGTGAATTGTTTGAAGATATAGTTGCTAGGGAATTTTACAGTGAAGCAGATGCTAGGTTAGTATTTTATGATTGCTTGTACTTCTTTTGTTGTAGTAATACTCTGTTCTTATTATCATTACTAGAAAATGACTGTTTCTTGATTTTCTAAGGAAAATACTATTTCATTGACACAGGTTACATTGAAGGAGACATCCTACATATACCAGTAGATATATTACAGTTAATAAGACTGGTTAATTCTGTATGAAAGGATCCGAGAATCATTTATTCTAATTTAGTGTGCGATAAATTTAAACGTCCAGAGGAGTTGGAGATGCAGTTGATTAGTAGTAGTCACTTTGTGTTTGCATAAACCTATGTACATGTACATGTACATATAACTTATATGCATGTGCAGTGACAGCTCATGGCTACATTTTCTGGGGTTATTTTTCTTTTCCATCAATTAATAGAAAGTTAACACGGAGTATTGATCAGTGATGGGATTTCGCCCGTATTCTGGACATGTCAGATGCTATTTTCCAAACGTCCTAATTTGTACGACCGGGGAATATGCCCAATCGGACATCAAGATGTGGTGAACAATATTCAAAATTCCAAAATTAATATAGTGTACTGAGTGTATTGATTAGGTAATTAAGTGATCAATGTATTTATCGTGTTATACCGTACACCTACCTTGATAAACAACTTAATCTGCCTTAATTGACTGACTTAATCCTTTGTCGGACAATTCATCAATCTAATCTTAAACAGAAGTCATTGCTTCCCCTTTGTCGGACTATTATAATTTTAATCTAATAATTTTAATTACCGTGTGGTTTCTCCATTGTCAGACATTTTAATTGCATTGTTGTGAGCCGACAATATGTAAAAACTAGTCATAGATGTCAAGTATTGTAAGAGTATAACACCCTAAATCAATATATGCGATAACTTGTCTGCGATATCACATTGGTGGAAGCGGCGTTAAATATACAATCCCAGGTACAAACTGGGTGATTTGATGATATATTTGGACTAAAAACCTATTCAAACTAATTAATTTATCATAATTTTGCTTTAAATCCTTCTCAAAACATTACAATTGTCAGGGAATACCCTGGCTATAAAAAATCGATCAAAAGAGGTCATATTTGTGTCACATAACTTACCTCTCTCGGAACCTATCAACACAAGCGAAGTCGGAGGAGAATTAATTGCATACACAAGACGATGGTGTCTTTAATCACTATTTATTACAAATATCTAAGCCTAATTAAATTTTCGGATTATCCACTACCCACGTCTTTTTCCATGATTTTTATCTCAAAAAGTGTTGTACATCTAATTCTTCATAAAGTTTATCAAAATGTACATCGAGAGCTCAATCTCTGCATGCAACCTTCGACGTCACGCGTGCAGTCACTCCTAATCGTCAGGCTATATGAGCTCCATGAGTTTTTTTTAAGGGAATCCAGTATTTTTCTAGTAAGATTGGATATTTCTACTTTCCATATATACCAAAATTGCCATACTTTTATTGGAAATAACCACCTGATAAATACTTTTCTGGGAACGTAGCTTTAAATAAAGCACACCCACACACATAACCGATAAATACTAGACAATGCAAGCACGTGGTTATAATACAATAACTGAAACGAAAGTAGAAATCTCGCGTGAAACGTGAAATTAAGAGATGGAAATGTGACAATCTCGACCAGACTGATGTCGGAGAAAGGATTCTATTTTGATGCCATATTCTCAGATTTATAATAATATTTTGAATAGGCTTTACGTTTTTAAAAAAAGAAATGTCGACAAATATTGGAATACTGTAAGTAGTTACTGCCAAAAAAATCTGAAACAGGTTCGAGTCGGCATGCTTTCATTCTTTCGTATTACGACAACACATAATTTTGTAAAAATATTACTGACATAAATTTGAATATCATACGGGAATTATATATGAAAAATAATGAGGTGCATCTATTTTTTTATTACGTACATATTTGAATATTTTGTTGACACATGATTTTTAATTGGGGTCTGAAGCTGCCTACTTAAATAATGATAAGAGTTATGACCCTTTTATTTTCGGTAAAAATGTCTGACAAAATTTTTGGGAGGATCCCAACACTGGTATTAATCATAGTAACATTTATTTGGTCATTCAATACACAATTGGACACAAGTGCTCTAACCTCCATAAACTATTTTGAGAATATCTATAAACCTCCCAATATTATGAGCCATAAATTTCAGCTGTAGCGAACTTTATTCATATCGAAGAATGCAATGCAGTATTTAGTTTACTGCAGGATCTCAAATTGTGATATTTTTAAAAGTAAATTAACATATATAGTATTTGTTTCACATTTTCAATTTCAACTAGCCAAAATCAACTTAAACAAAGAGCAGCATACTAAACCCTGTACCGGTATGTTAAATAATTAAAAAATGATAATTACTATATTCAACTGAGTAAGTGCTCATGCCCTCCCAAATTTCAAGAGTCATGACAGTCCCGGTTGATTGATATTTTATTTACTTCACTGGGGGAGAAATGACTCCATTGCAAATAATTGGAATTGCACTGGATTAGAGCATGCAAGTACATTTCTTCAAGTTGAATGAAGAAACAATTAAAATGTTTTTGCTTTTCGGTTAAATATTGCAGGACCCTTAAAGTATTATTTGTATCTGAATTTACAAAAGCAACAGTTAAAACCGTATCACATGGCATGATTACCTGCAGCTGTAAATATATCATATATTCAATATCTAGTGTAATGAGATGGAATAAATTAACTTTGATATGTTAATTTCTACCACAATATGAATTTGTATAATTAAATTCAAATACTCATTAAAATAAAGTAGAGTAATGAAAAAGTCCTTGTATAATATAGACCCCCCACCCCCACCCCTCTATGATCTCCAGAATCCAAGGTAAATAGATAATAGTTAGTACAACACAGTTAAAATTTTCAGTTCTTCATAAAGTACAGCACTTGAATCACACAATGCATCAACCTGGAATATTTACAATGTATTTACCCAACACAGTGATATTTCATTAAAACAATGTTTCTATATGGGTTTCTTTTTATCTTAAATTTATTTGAAAATAAGCCTTCTCAAAAGGGATTATTTTTTTATACACCCACATTTTCTTGTGGACATATATTGTTGTCGCTTCTGTCCATCCGGATATCCGTCCGCAATTTGTTTGTGGACACTCTACAGGTCACAATTTTTATCCAATTTTGACGAAACTTGAAATATAGGTTTATGTCCCATGTTGGCATGTATCGGACCATAACTTCATGGATTAGGGCCCCTGATTGTATGAAAAATCACGTTTTTAGCTAGAGGTCACAATTTTTATCCGATTTAAAAAATCATTCAAATATATCACCGTAACAGTAACACCAGTTTGAATTTCATGAAAATCAGACCAAAACTGCCAGACAAAATGGCCACTCTATGTACCGGTACGCAAATAGTGTTAAAGTATTTAATATCAAGGTATTAAGGACCCTTTAGAGGTCACAATTTTGATCCAATTTTGATGAAACTTAACAAATGTGTTTATGTCCCAAAGATCTCGGTTCCTTTGTGGTCTCTCTATAGGTCACAATTTTTATACGCCCACATTGAAATGTGGTCGTATATTGTCGTCGCCCCCGTCCGTCCGTCGGTCCGGCGTCCACAATTGCTTGTGGACGCTCTAAAGGCCAAAGTTAATATCCGATTGACTTTAAATTTATACACAGTGTTTAAGGTCATGAGACGAAAAAGCCTATTGATTTTCAGCGATTTCCGATAATTACTGCCAGAGTTATGGCCCTTGATCACTTCAAAAAATCTTGTGGATGCTCTAAAGGCCAAAGTTAATATCCGATTGACTTTAAATTTATACACAATGTTTAAGGTCATGAGACGAGGAAACCTATTGATTTTCAACGATTTCCGATAATTACTGCCAGTGTTATGGCCCTTGATCACTTCAAAAAATCTTGTGGATGCTCTAGAGGCTAAAGTTAATATCCGATTGACATTAAATTTATTCACAGTGTTTAAGGTCATAAGATGATGAAGCCTATTGGTTTTTAGCGATTTCTGATAATTACTGCCAGTGTTATGGCCCTTGATGACTTTAAAAAATCTTGTGGATGCTCTAGAAGCCAAAGTTAATATTCGATTGACATTAAATTTATACACAGTGTTTAAGGTCATAAGATGATGAAGCCTATTGGTTTTTAGCGATTTCTGATAATTACTGCCAGAGTTATGGCCCTTGATCACTTTGAAAAATCTTGTGGACGCTCTAGAGGCCAAAGTTAATATCCAATTGACTTTCAATTTATTCACAGTGTTTGAGGTCATGAGACGAAGAAGCCTATTGATTTTCAGCAATTTCCGATAATTACTGCCAGAGTTATGGCCCTTGATCACTTTAAAAAATCTTGTGGATGCTCTAGAGGCTAAAGTTAATATCCGATTGAGTTTAAATTTATACACAGTGTTTGAGGTCATGAGACGAAGATTCCTATTGATTTTCAACGATTTCCGATAATTACTGCCAAAGTTATGGCCCTTGATCACTTTGCAAAATCTTGTGACGCTCTAAAGGCTAAAGTTATCATCTGATTGACTTCAGATTGATACACAGAGTTTAATATCTTGAGACGAACAAGTATATTGATTTCAATGAATTTTTATGACTTGAACAGTTAAATCCATGATATTAAAAGCTTTGCATACAAAATGTTAGCATGGGGCAGAACTTTATAAAAACCGAACAAATTCTAATAGTTTTCTGATAATTACTTCGTGAGTTGTTGCTCTTAATCAGATTTTAGGGTATTATAAATGTTTCATTACCGAAAAAAGTAAAAATATGCGACAACCCTTGTTGACTGCCCGGACGAATTAGTTGCTGTGGGCGTATGTTTCGTTGCCTGGCAACCTATATTTATCTGATTTTAAAAATCGTTTAATTATATCACTTTTCCACCCTGGTGATGGTTGATTTCGAATTTCGTCACAATCAGACCATTACTGCCTGACAAAATAGCCTCTCCTTGTACGCAAGTAGTGTAAATGTGTGTAATACAAGGTTGTGAATCCTCCAGAGATCAGAATTTTTATCTGAATGTGATAAAACTTTATATGGCATAAATCTCATCGGGAGATCAATCATATTTGCAATAAAACTAGAAGACAAAGTTTCAAATTTGTATTCCCTTGAAAAGAAGCACAGCTACCAATGTAGTTTTTCAGTATTATTAATATGGGTTTTTACATTACTCTCCATATGTCATTTGCGGGTCTACTTTGATATTGTGTTGTTTTTTTGTTATCTCCAATAAACATCCAATATTAAACATAGATTATGCAAGAGCTAAATCTGCCAATTGCAGGTCTTTCTTTAGGCCTGAAATGTTATCTAAATTATTAATTAGACATTAATTAACTTATCCAGACCATAATCAACTTTCATGTCTTTATTATCCGACCGGCTGCTCTACACTCATTCATGATTAAATAAGAAAATGGATAATAAAGACTATGTTTTTATCGTACTGTCTTAAGTAATGATGATCGAGGCTAGGCCCAAAATTCAATCGTTAAATTTTCAGTTCAGAGTGGATCAATTTGACTGAAATTATCAGCAAATTCCCTTTACATTATCTAGTTTTCCAGATCTAGAATTGAAATTTTTGGGTTAAAGATATGTCGATTTATGTAACGGATCAAGAAACAAAGTAATGCACTACTTCTAATAAGTTCAAAACATGGTTACATTGACCTAATATATTCTTTTTCTGAAGCACCATTTTAATCAGATGATATGAAATCTATGAATGTGGTAGATGTATAGTGTATCAAATCAATGTCAAGCTTCATATTTTTATCGGAAAATTGTAAGAATAACAAACAGTCGGTACACATTAACAGTGCAATTCATAATATTGCGTATTATATATTTTCTATAATTCTCTACCTATACAGATGGATTCAGTGCCTTTTAAGTTAATTTGTATTGTTAAAATTGGAACTCTTCCCTTATTTTGCCATACTGTAAATAACCTCAGTGTTTGTATATTTAGCTCAAGGATCATCAGGAAAAAATAAGTTTTATTACTCAAGATTACAGGCTATTTGTCTGAGAAGCTAATATCCTGTCACAGGATAGAAATTGAGACTTATGAAAGATGAATCATTATTGAACATTTATTTAAAAATATCTCCATCCATCTTTTTCTTTGGCTGTCCGTTAGTGCTGAATTTTCAATTTATATTAATTTACACTTCTTTATAACAGTGTCACATTTCTTAAAAGAGTGTTATATCAATGACTTATTTGCATGTTAAAGGGAAGAACAAAATATTAATAAAATTTATATAGCCAATAGATGAGCATTGTAATGGCTTCGATCAGGATTTGGCTAAAAGCAGTTCTAAGCAGTGAAAATATCTAGTTCAATGCCATTTGGCTTTATTGAACAGCCATAGTTCCTTCAAGCAACCATGTATGTGTATTGCTCCCCTTCTGTGTAACTTGTTCGCAATTTCAGTCACTGTATACAACAAATTCTAGAAGGGGTAAACCACTGTCATCAATACGTTGTTATTCATCGAGATTTAAAGGTGGGTTTCTGCTGCAATGTTTGGCTATGCACTTGGCTAAAATACTGTGATTTCTGTAAAATATTAGGCCTTAAAGCTGCATGTTGTTGTCTTAGGGTGCTATATAATTGTATATTTTTTATTTAACTCAAATTACATAACCAGTTTGTTGAATCTATAAATTGTATTGATATCAGCAGTGTTTGAATTATTGAAATTGAGACAGTCTACAGTGCAGTCATTGTATCTTTTACAATATGATACTTCTGAAATTCATTAACTAATTTAGGCATTTAGTGAAAACTCTGCATACATCATGTAGCAACATGGTTATGTTAAAATTATAACGGATCGGTTTATATTTTACGTTATTTGGCTATACATGTATGTAGCCTACCATGAACAGAAGTTTCGTTAATATCAAGAAACCCAAATACATTTGATACAAACTATATTGTTTGAAAAGACAGCCAACCTGAAGCTAAATTATATTCTAATACATGTGCATAATTTTGTGCAATAAATTTTATATGCATTCAATCACCACAGAACTTACAGTTAATGATTTGTTCTTTAAGTGGAGACTATATCCAAGCTACTGAGAACTATATTTGTTGATAAAACACATATTAATGATTGGGGAATCCTATTTTATTTCAAATCTACAATTACATCCATTGTGAGTATGGTAGCCTATGCAACAGTTTCATAGTATCTCTTTATGTACTCTGACCTTTAAACTACCAATGGTGCAGATGACAGGATAGGATATCTATGCTATATGTTTTATTTATTGTAAGCCTTTTAATCACTTTCAGCCTATTTTATTTTTGTTTTTCATAAATTGTCTTACTTTCAAAAATATCGGCCTAAATCGTACTATAGTTAACCTAGATAACTCCAATGGAACATGTCTTGAATAATAATAATAATAAATTTATCAAAATATTTGTATGTGACAGAATTAAACAAAAGTTTAAAATTTGTTCATAAAAATTTATCTCAACTGGGAAAAGATTGATTCCTATAGGTTAGAATTATTGCCACATTACATTTATATATTGAGCTCTGAACAAAAACTTTCCAATAGCTTCTGTCTTGAGTTCATTTGTTAACTTTCCTACCAACAATATGTAAACCTTTCCATTTCATTATTGGACAAAAACACACAACTCAACATTAGTACATAACCATGAAAATATAAAGTTAGTCATGCAAAACTGAACAATTAATTTAATATTCTCAGGAACCCACAGGTTCTGTTGGTACTTTTCTTCGTCTCTTTTGTTTGTAAAACCAGAGATACCAGAGGAAGGGGCTAACAAAGGTGTACCTTTTGGGCCTGGTATCCATTCCCAGTGAACAAACAGTGGGAATTGGGAGGTAAAGCAGAAAGGTCTGCCTTGATCAAATCTTATCCCATTGTATTGCAGTGATCAATCTGTCTATCTCTGACCACTGCAATGAGGAGTTTCATTCCAAAATTGTATATAACAAAGAATAGGATAACCACCCTAACCTTGTGGCTTGGCACTAGCTTTCTTCCACTGTCAGTAAGCCCCAAACAGGACTGCTTTTTTAAAATGTAAACCTATTTTGCATCAAGTCCACACAATTAATTCTAATTTCCATTAAAATGAATATGGATTAGATTACATTAATAGAACCAATGGAATTTGGAGTATTATAGTTGACCCTAAAACATTGATTTGAAAGGTTGTTATTATAAGAAAGATACAATTTCTGTGCTGCATGCATCTTACAGAATTATACTAAAACCATGTACTTTCATTTGAAATGAATTCAAACTATCTAAAACATTTAAATATCACTACTAGCAACTAATAATGTAGCATCTAGGTATGAAATCATAACATTGGTCTGATGCAGCTTCCATGCCTTAATTGCTCACCCCTTTCTGTCTACTAGTGCACGAAACAGGAGATGAACTGTAGTTCTGTAGTTGTGTAAAACTGTGTCTACTTGTAGCTACTATAATCAGCTTTGCTCATGTGTTGTTTTACCTGTTACATTTCAGTCACTGCATGCAGCAAATATTAGAGAGTGTTAATTATTGTCATCAACATGGTATTGTTCATCGAGATCTTAAGGTAAGTTAACCATGTACTCGATTATGGTAAGTGGAAATGGCTAGGTGTATGCTATTTGTGGATCAGAGACAGTTCAACTTCAATTCTCGCTTGTTGTGTTGTTATTAATATTAACAAACATTAATTTATCCAGAATTGCAAAAAACGTCTGAATGTTCACACGTTACTAACTTGTGCGTATTTTGAAACAGAATGCTAGTCTAATTGAAGTTGAATGGCCTCATCTGTAGTTATGTAGGATAATTGTTAGAATAATAGTGTATTTCTTAGATTGTTAGAAGTTGCTATCAATGTGCAGCCTGGAAAAAAATATTGACCAAACTGGATTTTATGTTAACTGTAAGAATCATTCTTTCAGATAAGATCAGTAAAGAACAAAGCAGTTATCTAAGTTACATTCAATAACTTGTTCTTCAGCAAATAATCTTTATATTAAATAGGATTCTTGTGTAATTAATCTTTGAATTAGAAAAGCTAAGTTTGGTTGTGTAAAAAAAAAAAGAAATACGGTATTTTATACATATAGTTTAATCTCGTTCTTCATTTCATGTAAGTGTCTTTTTGCTGTATAAAACCCCTATTGTAATCCATTCTCATTAAATTTCTAAGCAATGGAAAAGAGCTATTCCTGAATTTACTTCTGTAACATTTCCCACATGGCTGAAGAAAATGGAAATTACACTTAATGTTTGCATCTAGATGGTGAAATAATTAGAGATAATTTCAGAATAGTATCATTAAGATTCCCAGAAAGTAATTTGTTCTTTGAAGAAGCATCTATTCTTGATTATCTTAATGGGAAATCCCAAATTATTTTTGACACAGATATTGTTTTGTTTAGAGTCACTGAATGTGTGCAACAGTATTTGGATGGTAATCACTACTAAAGAGAAAACAATAATAGATTGATCGTACTAGTTTATCATCTAATGAAAACATTAGACACTGTGTGAACCTAAATTAGTTTCAAGGAAAGATCAATAGTGTTGGAATTCATCAGCTTGTATAGACCCAATCATATAACCTCTTATAACATGTCTAGACCAAATGTGAATAGAGTCTGGTTTATTTATATGGTTAAGTTGGAAACCATGTAGAATTGTGACTAGAATATTAAAGAGGCAAGGTTAAATTAGGCATTTGTAATTGTATAATCCAGAATGCAGGCAAATCTGCTTTCTTGGCTTTACAAAAGGCGTTACTGTTTTAATGAAGAGGACAGAGGTTAAAATGAATGGGATAATACCACAACATACTGAACATTGCATTTCAAAATATATCTTCAAGTGGTGTACAAAAAAAAGTAGCAGTACTGCCAAAATTGTCAGTGAATATTTATCAAAAGATGCATGTGAAATGCACACATTATTGAAGATGTTTGAAGTCATTTCAGTGTACCTTCTATAGAGGGGGTAAAAAGAATGAGAATATTTTAGGTGTTTTTGATCATTTGTCAGGTGTGCCATACCATGATACATACAGCCCATTCTATTCAACTCTGGCAGCCCATGATATCAATGTAAGACCGAATAATTGGATGAGCTGAAAGTTATGAAATTAATTTCATATGCAGTTCCATCTACCTTCAAATATTAAAATAATCTCCAGTTGAATTTTGCAGTTCATAAATTTTATCAAAAAAACACTTGATATCAATTTTGCACATTTAGATATTATGACATTGTCATCAGGAAAGTTGACAAGGGCCTTTTTAGGTACAAATTTAGAAGAAACTTGGTTATTTAAAATTGTTCAGTATGTAACGGGTACGTGGCTTTTACCAAAAGCATGAATTTTCATTACATAAGTGAATTTTTCTTGTGAAAGACATCTTAAGGCTCTAAGAATCGTTTCTCTTTAGTTCCTCCTATCACTTCAAAGAAGATCTCTAGGCTACTTCTCTAATGTCTAGTGCTGTAAGCTTTTTATCAATTACATGTTGCCATTTTTTGAAGCTGATACATAGTGTCTGTAGGTGTCTTTTGTAATTACAGCTGAAATTTAGATGTGCTCTTAACATTTGTTTCCCTAAATACAATCGATCAACAAACATGTTAAGATTGACAAGCTAAGTCTATACTAAGTTTGTGCTAATGTAAGAGGGAATCATTTTTTTGGCACAAAAAGGAATTTGTGAATAGTTATTTTGGTTATAATAAAAATGGCTTTAATTTAGTAAGATAAGAAATTATCCCCCTAAAAATGTTATCATTATTCAGTTTCAGAAATCAACCTCTGCCTGTAGGTAAATGATATATAAAACTATAATGAAAACTATATTGGCTTTTAGTAGTCAGGTACTTGCCATCATTTTGAAACACATTTGTATATTAATAATCTTACATATTATTGATTAATAAGCTTTTCACGAGTAGTAAGTCATGAATGATAAGCGAGAAATCATTCAAGCACATCTTTATGAATCAACCTGATAAAACTAATTAAATTTCAACAATCTCATTTTTTACCCTTCATTCACAAACAGCTTCAGGCGATTATTTCCACTTCATCAATTACAATAGCATACTTTGAGATGTAAATTTGGTCGTTAAGACTAAATGATTATTTAATTAGAATGGTATAGATTTTTTTTCTATTCCTGAAAGGAATGGGTACTGTCATAAGAACTGTAGGGTTAACTTTTTTTGATATCTTTTACAGCCAGAAAATTTGCTGTTGGCTAGTAAGGCTAAGGGTGCTGCTGTCAAACTTGCTGACTTTGGATTAGCTATTGAAGTACAAGGGGATCAACAGGCATGGTTTGGTATGTTTTCTGTATATCCTTATCCATGTTATGTAACTGTTGTATTGCTATATAGGTTCCCACAGTCGTGCGTTGTGTTGCGATAGAATTGTCCCTATTGAGTCCACGATCTGGTATGTACAGATACGTTCGATACATTTTTATGCGATCAACACGATTGCTACGAATGACCTCATTATATGGTAAGACCTGGTATGATCACCACAATTACTCCACGTTTAAAACCACGATTTCAATCGCAGCACAAATCGTGACTGATAGTGGGAACCTAGCATATTTTAACTTTTTTTAAGTGCCTATCTTTAATATAGAAAGCTTCATATGGTTCAACATTATACAGGACAATGTAATCATCAAAGCCTGTTATATCAGATTTCTGACTTGGATCCGCCTAACCCAACCAGCTTGAAACATTTATTAACGTCAGAATCATGTACTCAAAAACAATTTTAGGGCCATTTTGGTTCATTTTCAGTTTTTTTATAAACTGTGAATCTTTCAAATTGTTAGTTCCAGGTATCTGTTTACTTATGTTTGAATATGTTGCTTTTATTTAATTAATAGAATTAAATGTTTCCCATTAGTTTTAACTAAAGACAGGAATTCAATTAGAATAGTTTTAGAATCTAAAAATTCAAATATTTATGTGAGCTATAGGCAGTATTCATGTCGGGATTTTGTGGGAAGGTGCTAAAATATTTGGGACCATGACCTTCCACTGATAATGATTGGAGAACAACTCATTTCATATTAGACTATGGGTATTAATGCATAATAAAGAGTGCACTATTACAGGTGGTATAGCTGAATTCCAGCTGGAACATATAGGTTGTGGGTTATCTGGCATTTTCCCATCTTTCTTTAGAAATAATGTGGATTATAAATCTATTTTTTAAAAAAAACATTTATTCATGTAATATAACAGACAATATTACCCAAACAGTTTTTTGAAAATCATTTCATTTTGAAAATATTGGTATTGATTTGTCAGTGACACTTGAAGTAATTTGAATGAAATTTTCAATATTTTCATTTTTCATCATCTATTTTTGAATTATTATAGCAAGAATGACCAACTCTTTATTAAACTCTTAACTAATGTATCTTTAATGTAGATATATATTTAAAACGAATGTCATAAGTATACTTTATCATTTATGCTTTAACTGTCTTAATTCTTTAATGTCATTGTCTGTAATAAGCCTACATTTGAAATGTCTGAAGACCAGTAAAATTTAATACTGAAGTGATAAGACAAAAAATAGAATACAAAATATATATATATAACTTATAACAGGATACAAATATTTTTTAACAGGCTTTGCTGGCACACCAGGGTATTTATCGCCAGAAGTTTTACGAAAGGACCCTTATGGAAAACCTGTAGATATTTGGGCATGTGGTATGTAGAATGCTACAAATTCTTGACTCTAAAATTTATACACATATGAAACCTGTCGAAGCTTAGAGAGCAAAGGGAAGTAACTGGTTTATTTTTGATTGCATTTACCACCTTTGTAGATGCAGTACACGTACACATGGTTATCTTCTTCAAAGTTTTTAATCCTACTACATTTTTTTTTATGTAACATAGCATAACTTTTAACATTTATGTACAAAAAAACATTTGGAGATATTGTAAAATGAAGCACAAACTGAAAATTATGTTCTCACTAAAATTGATTAAGATTTATATTACTAATGTTTTGAATATTTCATATATATTTTTCAATATTTATCACAGCACTTTTTTTTTTTTTCAGGGGTTATATTGTACATTCTGCTGGTCGGGTATCCACCCTTTTGGGATGAAGATCAACATAGGCTTTATGCTCAGATTAAATCAGGAGCATATGATGTAAGTATCATAATCTCATGATATATATAATTGCAAGGATGCAAAAGCTCTGAAGTATGATATATCACCCATTACACCTTATGTTTATTTTGTGAAAAACAGACTGAATGTGCCAGCTGCATTAAGAATTGATCTGAAATGAATATAGCAAATCCCCATGTTAAGAAATTTGTGTTGATAGTATGGACAATTTTGGAGTTAATGGGCACCTGGTCGGTGATCCACATGTATATACTGTCTGGTTGTCTCTTTCTTAGTATCCCTCTCCAGAATGGGACACAGTCACTCCTGAGGCCAAAAACCTTATCAACAGTATGCTCACAGTCAATCCTGCAAAACGTATCAATGCATCAGAAGCACTAAAACACCCCTGGATATGTGTAAGTATTGTATTCTTTTGATATGTGTGGTAAAGAACATATTGCAGGTATTGTATACTTTAATTTTATCTTCTTCTCATCCATATGTCCATTGAAATACTTATTTTTTGTGGCCACATTGCATGTTCTCCAGACAAAAATCAATCTCAGAATAATAATGTACATTATCTTCCTTTTTTATATATATATATATAAAACATCCTACCTGGTAATTTGATTCATTTTTGATTTGATTTGGTTTTATACTAGACATGTTTCAGTAGAAATCCATCTAACAAGCCTTTTTTCCATTCCAGATTTATTAATATTATATTATTTTTGAAACTTCCAGATTTTTGTTTATAAAGAGTCTGAAGACAGACTGTTATATTATGTTGTGATGTTATATGTCTGCAAGTTTGAATACCTGAGTGAAAATTCGAAGTCAGACGTACATCAGAGTTTTATCCTTCATTTTTAAAATCTTAGTACACTTGAAAGTCACCTACCACATGTAACACTAGGGTGACTGTTATTTATATTTTGGAAACGTTGTCATGAAATTATATAAATTAGATCCGAAATAAACATACATGTACCACGCTCCTCCCATGTGACTTAATTTAGAATGTTAAACCCCATTTCATTTTATTTTCCTTGCAGCTATACAGGACCATATCTTATAGGCTATTTAGAGGATGGGCAATTTGACATTCATACAAAACTATATTATATTATTATAATTGCTAGAAATTTGAATTGGGTGAAAAAGACTTCATGTACCTAGTTACAGGCAACATTATAGTGATTGATTATCACATCTTATACTCATTGATAAGAGCATCAGCAGAACTAAATTCATTGTTTAAAATGTCAAGTGCCTATCTAACCCAATATGTTACTGCTTGAAACAGTTTTCTATTTATGAGTTCTTTAACTTGAAGCAAAATAATCATGCCCCTGTTAACTGTCTTTGGTCAATAGGAATTACTTTTTCTCAATATAATTATAAAACCAACTTATATTGTTAGAATGATTATAATAACAGTTTATATTGGTTTATAATGGAAACAGAAAATATGACTTAACGGAAAGTAATGATCAGGAGACTGATCAAATTACACTAGTGTATGTGTTTGTGTTAAAATGATCTCCTGTATATCAGTTATATTAATAATGTGTATTCATTAACTTTCTATCTAGCATTTGATTTAGGTATCAAAAGTAATTGTATATAACTGATCACATGAACACCAACTACATAATGATTATGTATTGAATATATTCAGAGGACAGCATCTATAAAGATATTGTGGTTTCAATGAAGTGGATTTACAGGAAAAGTCTACATTGTTCATAGGACTAATTTTGGATTTTTATTGTGATTTTATTCATATAGGTGTTGAAATGGAGATTATGGCGATTTGAGAGCATTTACGTTTTTTTTAGGTCCATGTATAATATCTTAATACGATGTTGCACAATTACCTTTTTCAGCAGCGTGAAAGAGTTGCCTCTGTAGTACACCGCCAAGAAACTGTTGATTGTTTAAAGAAATTTAATGCAAGAAGAAAACTAAAGGTAAGACCAAATTAAATAAGGTTTTAATGAGACTTCTAAGAGTTCAGTACAATTGATTGAGAGGAATATGGAACTTTGTGTATAGTTTCTTTAAATCATTACCTTGAAAAAATTAGATAATGAGCATTTTCTTCTCAGATTAAGCAAAAAGATGAATGTGCAACCAGTTAATGAGTGCCATCTATTTATTTGGCTGTTACCAGTGACATCAATATTTTCAGTTGACACATTGCTAAAATAAATATCCGGTAGAGAATATTATTTATGTCTCCATGAGAGTGCATGCTAACTGTCGGTTCTAAGAGCATAATTTGTATATATTTTTCATCGTACAATTTGTAATAATTATTATCAGAGTTATCCCCTTTGATATTTTTGTAAAATCTATCCAATTGACTTGAAATTTAAACCCATTCTTTTATGTTCAGTGATTTCCGATAATTCCTTTCTTAGTTATTGCCCTTGATTATTTTTTAAAATCTTGTGTATATGCACCAGAAGTTAAATTGAACATTCAGTTATACTTAATGTGTGTTTTCAAGAGATGAAGAACCTTTTTGATGCTCAACAATTTCTGATAATTACTTGATAACTTTGATAACTATTAAAATTCTTGTTATAATCCTATTGACTTCAAATTGTTTACTCCTCAAATTCATGTAAAGGAACATATATTTCAATAGTGTGTACTACATGTACTGTATATATTAGACCTATTTAGTAATAAATAACCAGGGTCCACACATATTTCAACCTAATATTTATAAAACTAATATCGAATTGTGATTGTTCATTAGGTTACAATGAAGATTTTCGAACCATAAATTTCAAGTTCTCTTTTCAGTCATATTTTGACTTTGAAAGTTTGTAAAAGCATTCTATAGATATGAAATTTATTTAAAACCCAGAATTAAGAATCTTCCTTCCCCTCTTAGTTATCCCAGTGATTGTTGTGTCTGTTGGTCACAATTATTTATTGGTGATGGGACAATGTAACCCTGAATAAACAAGTGTTAAATTGTAATTTTCTGCTTTGTATTTCTTTTGCGAGTGTGGGGCATCTTGATTGCACAAATATTGGAAATTGTACCTTGTTATAAATACTGTCTGTGTGAATCTTGTCAAGATTTGTTCCAATAAAGTTTCTTTGTCAAAGAGTACTTTGAAAGGGCAAGAAATTAATTTTGAAAAAATATCTTGCCTGTCGCAAGAATTGATTGTCGGATGAATGAACAGATGGCATTGGATATAGGTAGGATGATGTTTTTGAAAATTTGAAATGACATTGTGCTTGAAAACAGTTTGTCTTTTAAAATCGTAAATTAAACAGAAATACCTGTATTTATAATTAACTAATTGATTGGGTTGTTATTGGATATTGTAATATTGATGGAAATAAATGTACAATTGATTTACGCTATAATTTCATACTGTGTAACTTAAATAAAATCTGAGCTTTTTATGTAATCAATAACCCAGGGAAATTAATGTGCATTGTTTAACTGTTTCCCATGAAACATGAGTAAATAGAAATCTGATCAATGATCTACCTGTTGTGATTATCATTATTATATAAATATTTTGTACATACAGAACATGTATTGGCTGTAGTAATGGCAGCATACGTGTGTTACATTGTAAGAGAGTTAGTCATCGATAGGTTGCCAATTTCTGCTGTACAGTGTAGGCTTACAATATGCTAACCTACAGTAAGACTAAATGCTAAGTATGTATACAGAGAGGATAGAGGAGGATGTGGTGCCTATGTTCTTATTTCATTTATTTTCTTATTTTTATCACCTCAGCTGTTTTAGCAAAGGTCATCATGTACATATGTGACCTGGTCATTTTCTATAACGTTCACAAAGATGAAAAAGAGGTTGGTAATATTGTTAGTTAGGAAAATGGAAAAGTAATAACATTGAGAATGTGTTCAGGTATATGTATAGTTCCAAGTTCATCTTGGATTTATTTATAGACATAATGATATGTCAGTTACTTCAGAAGCTATATGGTATATGTGTATATTTTCTATTCATCAAGAGTTTACATGTAGGTCAGTTTTAGTAAGGTGGTTAGACTAAGGCCCCACTTATATGTAATTAAGAGGCCCCTAACCATTATGTTTATATGCCAACATTTTCATGTGGATACATATTGTTGCGCCCCTGTCCGTCCAGTCGTCCATCTATAATTTAATTGGACACTATAGGTCACAATTCTTATTTGATTTTGACGAAACTTGAAATATAGCTTTATCTTCAAAAGTTCTCAGTTCCTTTCGATATTGGCGCGTATCGGATCAAAACTTCATGGATTAAGGCCCCTGATTGAACGAAAAGTCACGTTTTTAGCTTGTGGACCCTGTAGAGGTCACAATTTTCATCCGATTTTGATAAAACTTGAAATGCATGTTTATAACCCAAAGATCTCGTTTCCTTTCGATTTTTGCGCATATCAGATCGTAACTTAGTTGAGTTCAAATTTTGTGAAAGTCGGACCATAAATGCCCGCCCCATAGTGTAAAAATATGGTATCAAGATTGTGGACCCTCTAGAGCATGGTTCCACGCTGGTCATATATGCCAGTCTGGACCGAGGGCTATAGAAAATGACTGGAACTAGATCTGAACCATCGGTCATTTTGCACGCCGGAAAAAAGCCCTTTTTTCTAAACCCAATTTTCAAACATGGCTATGATCGACCTCCACTATGTAACTATAAAATTGTACGGCCAGTGCAGAATAATGCGCACGTATGGAAGCCACATAATCTCATGATTGGTGTCATAGAGTTGTGTACATAGTCGTCAACAGATTATACTGAGTGTTGTGTTGATAATTAATGATGAGTGTCTGGTAGTAGAACAATAGAAGTTAAAGGAGCTAAATCGCTAATATTTTGGATCTAGAAATTGACACAAATTGGTCGCAACGCATATAATAATGTAATGTGAATGTATATAAACTGATTTACATTCAATCGTTTCTGTTTTTATTGCAATTTCTAATCAGTTATGTTCGGCGAAATACGCCAGAAGTCTCAATCGAATGGAAATCTCTAGCGTCTAGTTATTCCACTCTATACTGATAGTATTTATTGCACATGCTCTCCAGATAAGAATATGGCGTCACCGATTGACATGACTTGTGGAAAATATCTAGCCTCTTTCTACGAGTCCCTTGTTAAAAATGGCACTGAAATGCACCATTCGTGTACCAACAGTAAAATGTTTATTTTGTCTTAATTATTGGATATTACAAGCCCATCTTTTCTCCGTAAGGTCACAACACCAATGTTGATTTAAATTGACAAATAATTTGTGTTTTCAATGTCGAAGATTTTGGATGATATTGAGTTAGAGACTTGGCTACTTTAATTGATATGTGGGAATCTTATCAGTGGTGTGAAGCTGTCCATTCTTAGTCAATCACTATTTGAACACCCACATATGGTCTACTTGTCATAAGAATTTTCTAGAACAAAGCCGTTGACTGCTGTTACAGTCACGCACAATGTAAACAAGATTATTATGATCTTCGAAAAAAAGGCAATTGATATGGAGTACTGCTGTTCTAATCCAACCAACTGTCATATTAAATAAAAACAGTATAGAAATTACGTAAAACCTCAACAACCTATGTGTTAGGAGAAAAATGCATTATAAGTTTTTTATAGTGGTATTACGGTCTTGTGGAAATTGTACAAATAAAACCTAGAGATTAGTTAACTTGCTTACCGAAAAATTAAGAAAATTACATATTCCAGTGCTATTGTGTAGCAATATTGATAATTCCACATACTGCTAAAATGTTGTGTATATATGGTTGGTCTTATTATACACAACGATATTCTAGGGGGTCCTAGTGTCGCTAGCAGTGAAGTTAGTTATTTAGTTATTAATCTTTAGGATATACGTCACATTTCTGTAGTCCGTAATGCCCTAAAAATCTAAAACCAATAAATGTGAGAAGTAAGCCATGGATAATTAAATATTTATCTTCATTTCAAAGTTTTTGTATTACAACTCAAAATTATCAGGTCATTGTGTTTTCTATAGAGCACATGGTAATAAGTGTGTGCTACTGGAATGGGAACGGTAAATATATAAATGATTGATCTAACAGAAAGAATTTAAACAAATTTTGACAACTTTATATAATACTCAAACAAAACTCTGTGAATTTGATACATATGACAGTATCATTAAAAGCGGATTAATTGAACTCTGAAACTCATTGTACAGGTCGGGTTGTACATGAATGTCAATCATCTAGAAAAATCCTAATTTCCAGGTCTGCATAAATTATTAATTAATCAAACAACTAATAATTAAGTTCTTAATAAATGCTGTGTATTTTTAACTTAGCGAAAAGTGTGACCCATTTATATTTCTTTAATATTAATAAACATTGTGTTGTGTTTGATTCCCAAGATAAAATAGTACTGTCTCGTGACTAACGGTGACATGTATCTACATCATACATCAATTGTCATCACATTTGAGGCATGTTAATGGGTAATATTTTTATATCTGTCACTAGTGATAATTGTATTTGTATCAGGGATAGTTTCATAGTACCCATATTAGAACATGACTAAAATGAACGTTTGTTCCATAATTGAATTATCTTAGGCTCACAAATTACGACAGTCGAGTAAAGAAAAATAGGATTTCAGGCGTATGTATCTCTACCAACTATAAAACAGCTGAAATATGTTTGTTCTGCTTGAATAAGATTCTGCTCACACCACAGGTCTATGACCAGATTAAATTCCATGTCGGTCAATTGCAATTCTGTCAGTTTGGAACTTTCTAGACTTTCAATCCAAAAAAGTCAGCAACACATCCGAAATAAATATCATCGGAAAGAATTAAAAATAAACCATAAGTTAATTTGTTAGCAACTGAACTGACATGACTGTTTATTTGGCCAATAAAAAAGACTATATCCAGTGACTCAAATAAGAAATTGTAGAGATAAAATGACCAGTAAAGAAATTGTTATATCTTATATAGTGTCGGAATAAAATAAAGTAAAAAGTAACATTTCAAGGCAACAAAAATACACCCACCATTAAAGATACATTATGTAGCATTTAGATAAAGAGCTAGCCATTCTTTCTATAATAGTTCGAAAATAGATAATGTAAAATGAATAATTTGAAAATTTCATTCAAATTACTCCATTGTGAGTGAAGATATTAGCCTTTGAAGATTTGACAAGACGTGTGCAATAATTTTCTTCCACCGTACTGTTTGTTCGAAGCTAAGTCTTGCTCCTCCATTTTTAGCTTAAATCAAAATATGGCTGAACTGTTCTAATCTATTTAATATCGGAGAAATCTGATGCCATCAAGAGTTGATTATGGCCTGGATAAGTTAATTAATGTCTAATTAATAATTTAGAAAAAAGTTTCAGACCTAAAGAAAGAACTGCAATAGGCAGATCTAGCTCTTGCATAATGTATGTTTAATATTGGATGTTATTTATTATTGGAGATTCCAAAAAAACAGCACAATATCAAAGTAGACATTTTCAAGGATGATTTTCATTTTTTCAGGGACAATAACTACACATAAAATTAATGTGAAAGTCTGAATTTTCATTGAGTTCCTTCTAATGATTATTAGCCTAACAACCCCAGCAAGTTTGGAAAGAAGTAACAAAAACACTCACATGCAGAGTTTCAGTAAAAGGGTCAAAATCATCCCCCCCACCACCAAATTGGAATTTTAATAAACATACTCCTATCCAAACAATCTTAGTTTTGATAAAATAAAAACCTCAAAGTTGATGACGTGGAGAGACGACATATTAGTCTGAGTGTATAGAAATGGTTATTTGTTTTTGTTGATGATTTATGCCTTGTTTCAGTGTGGTCTTTATTAACATAATCCCATTTTATTTTCCAGGGTGCCATCTTAACCACAATGCTGGCAACAAGAAATTTTTCAAGTAAGTACAGGATATGTTAATAATTTTTTTCTTTAGAAACTAACTTGAAATATTTAAAGCAGCATTCCCTGTGTATTACATGCATAGGTTTCAAACTAAGGGGATTCTCCAGGACATACTTTCAAAACGTTTTCAACTATGAACAATTAAAGGCCTTTCAGATAAAAAGATCTAGAAATTGTAGTGACCAATTATGCATTTTTGGTTTTACATATATGCTGAGTTGTTACTTGCTTCTTTAAACTTTATTATTCTAGTTCTATAAAGATACATTATGGGAGATTAAATAAAGAGCTGGCAATTCTCACTATAATAGTTAAAAACTAGATAATGTAAAGGCAATTTGCTGAAAATTTCAGTCCAATTGATCCACTTTCAACCGAGAATTAAGCAATTGAAATTTCGACATAGCCTCGATCATCATTACTAAAGTCGATACTATAAAAAACATAGTCCCGATTATCCATTTCATGATTAAATCATGAATGAAAGTTGAGCAGCAAATGGGATCATAATCCAGTAAATATCGCAGGCTAGCGATGAAATCTAGAGTTAATTATAGTCTGGATAAATTAATGTCTAATTAATAATTTAGATAACATTTCAGGCCTAAAGACAGACCTGCAATAGGCAGATTTAGCTCTTGCATAATGTATGTTTAAGGAATATGTCTAGATAAATAATCTGAACCTGTTTTACATGAAATCATTATCTTCAAGGGAATATAGCTTTAACAGGACAATTGTTATAATAAACTGCATTTAAGAAGCTTTTGTGCTTTATCCGACTTTGTTGACTAAAGAAATCACTCATCCAGCAGGTGAAGTATGAGTGAAATGAACAAAAAGTCTTGTTAGTGTTGATAAATGAGTAGGCCCAGGGCAGTACAAATAAAATTATGACAAAAATTTCATCATTCTCAGTTCAATAGTTTTACTTTTGGGCTCGCTCTTTAATGATTTTATGGCTATATAGGGTAGATGAACGTCATTTTGATTTTATCAGACGTCAAATTTTTCACAGTTTAAGGGTGTTGCTATGTTTAAGATTCGCACTAACTTGTCAAACTATTTCTCAGAGTTACTTTAGTACCTGTCTCCTTTTCCCCTTAAAACACAAATAGTCAACAGAAAGAAATGTTCACTTCGCCTGATGGGTCAGGATTGTTGGTCAAAGGGAGGAAATCCCTGACCTTGGTTGATCTAAAAATAGTATCCAAATTTGTTTTGAAAGTTTCGATAAGTATAGTAGCTCGTCTTTCTTTGTTTCTGCATAGAAATATGCTTCTGTAGCCTGGTTTTGGTCATTTCTGATACACAGAAACTAGACATGGGGGGAATTCATTCGATCTCGAATAACCAGTCTTTTTGACAGATGCCAATAACGAAAAAATGGCTCCATTCGTTTTCTTTATTTTGTGGGACAAAGATCTCATATTATTTTTCATAAACTACACAGACAGGAGCGGCAAAGTCTACTCATTGCTAATTCAGGATATTTTGTCTAATTTTTATACAAATAGTATTATTTATTACACGAATACATCACGATTTGAAAGGACCTTTTTTTGTAACCAATGAAAACGATGAAAAAAATACAAGTTCTACTCAACCGATTTTAACAAACTTGGCATCAAATTGAAGCTTACACTCGGGGGAACATTTCTATGGGACTAATGGAGATTATATGAAATAGATTTTATTTCAGACCAGTTTACATAACGACCTATGAAATTTTTGGATTTTCTGGAATTTTGGCATTATTAATGGCACCATGAAAAAACACTCTCGTAATTTTATTAAACACTAGCTTAGCTATTTGCATGCCAAAAATTATTTAATTCTGATCATGCAAGACTGAGAACTTTTTAGATTTATGACGAAAATTGGGTATTTTTAAGCCGATTTCAAAATTTAATATCTCTAAATCCAGAAAAGATATGTCCCCAAACTATGACTTAAATCACAGCTTCAGATGTCTATTTAATGATCATACTAAATTTATGTGGAACAGAGTTTGAAAAATAATATAAAATTAATTGTAAAATTACCATAGGGTAGACATCGCAATGCCCTTAATCCACACAAACGTTTACTCTAATTGGTTGTTTAACACTTAAGTAAGAAAACAAAATCAGAACATCTATGGTAGACAATCTCCTGGCTCAACTACACTTGTATTTAAAAAAAAAAAGGCCCATCAAATGATTTCAGCGAAATCATAGTTGGGACTGACTTGTATTGACTATATCCTACATTACTTAGTATAAGCTGCAAATTTTCATTTCGTCATATTTTTGTAAATACTGACCGTAATCGAACCATTTTTGGCCTGAGATTCAACATTGCAATGTTGTACATTGCAACTTTAACAATACCTCAACTCAAAATCAGAGACCTGAAGAGTATCAAAATTGAAAAGTTAACATCAACATTACAATTTTTCTGTACTGCCTACCTTTAGTAGAATATAAGACAAATATATCCAAGGTCAAAATTGGTGCGTGCCTTGTATCAGAAACAGGAATGCTACTTGGCCTGTATATTCCAGATATGTTCCCACGCGATTTTTCAATCGTCAGACTATTTATCAATCCAATAAGAGTGATTAAAAAATTAATCTTTGTGATTACCTTGTGGCTTCTCCATTGTCGGACATTTTAATCTCCTTGATGTCAGCCAACAGCATATAGAAACTAGTCCTAGATGTCACATATCCTCTTAGTATATAACACCCATAATGAATGGACAGTCATAACTTTCAAAATGCTACAATTATTATCTACTGCCCAATCCTTTACCAGGCATAAACGTGATGATCCTGAAACCCTTGGGTCCGCTGTTTCCACTTCCAAGTTCTGTGCTGTCACACAATTTTTATTTGTAACTATTTTTTTGTAAGAATTGCCACGTGGTCCCACCTGGCAACCCATTTGCCATTACACAATATTTTAAGCATTTTCCATTCACTGACAACAAATTATTCTGTACATATACACAAAATGTATCCATACAAATCGTTGCCCATTATTAGCTATTAATAAACAACTTTAACTTATTTTCCATAATGAAAGTGGCACTTTCCAGCAATCTCACTGTCACATTTAAATAAACATTTACCATGTAAAGTATTGCTTACTACGAAACTAGTAAATGGTTGATTTTGGCATGATTTATATGTAAAAGGTCACATAGGCCAATAACAGACGTGATAATACGTGGAAGTTGGATATGCCTTTTAACAAGTATAAAGAAGAAAACAATGTTTCGATATCATGAACTATTTTTATCACTAATGTTTCGATTTTGTTTTCTATAGTACAAACAAAGGCAGGTAATTATTGAGGAATATTACTGACGTAAAGTTAAAGCCAGTACGGGAATTAAATATGAAAAATTACAAGGAGCACCTAATTTTTATACGCCTACATATATTTTCATGTGAACGTATTATGCTGTTGCCCCTGTCTGTCCAGACGTCCACAATTTTTTTGTGGACACTCTACAGGTCACAGTTTTTATCTGAGTTTGACGAAACTTGAAATATAGGTTATCACCCAAAGATCACTATTCCACCATAATGAAGGCAGAGTTTGAATTTCGTGAAAATCGTAACGAAATGATCGCTCTTTGTACACAAATTGTGTAAAAGTATGTAATAGATAGGTTGTGGACCCTCTAGAAAACACAATTTTTATGAAACTTAAAATATATCTTTATATCGCTAAGATTTCAGTCCCTTTCGATATTTGCGCATTTCAGACCATTTGTTTTTAGCTTGGGTTCTATCCATCTCTCTCAAAATGTGGGCGTATCTTGCCTGGCAACCGTTGGTTTGTTCTAATCATAAGCATTGTTCGGAACATGATATGCTGCATAAGAAATGTTTCTAGTTGAAGTCAATTAATGGGAATGTAAACTTATTGACCTTATTTCCTGAAGTGGACAACTTCTAGTGACATAATTCTGGACTCTGTTAACCCCAACTAGAAATGTCTGACATGCAAAATTTTGAAATTGCATCCCTGATCAGAAAGTAGAAAGCCGATTTATTACATTATTAGTCAAATATCTAAGGTAATATTCTACAACAGCATGCATATGCATCCACATAAATAACTGGGTTACTATAACTGTATTGTTGTAAAAGGTAATAGAGAAAAGTCAATCAAATATTCTTGATATATCAAACACAAAAATAGATACCCGTAGTTTGACCAGCAAGTATTTTGTTTAGTTGTCTGAATTTTGAACAGCATGGATATACATGTGCTGCTGTATAAGGTCCGATATAGTTGGAACGTAAGTCACTGTAGGTAATTTCAATTGCTTTTTTTTTCAAATTTAATATGTATGGTTTAACCAAGTTTATAATATAAAAATTTAATAAATTTCTGATAATGGCAGTAGTAGAAAAATCCTAATTTTTATCGACCAATGAACTATACACGAACGTTTAGCTTTATCCATTGAATAAATGAAAACAGTAATTTATTCAAGAATATTACTGAAGCCAGTACATGAATTAAAAATGGAAAATTTTCCAAAATGTATACCTATTTCTCATTATTTTTGTGGTAATCAAATACGTTATAACAACATTCACCATAACAAATTACGAAGAATTATTTTTGTTGAAGTCTGGTTATATTAAAGGGAATAGAAGTTTATCATTACCCTATTTCCTACCTGGACCTCATTTGATCCAATTCTGGCCAGTTCATTTCAAAAATGATTATGAACCCTAGTAAGTCCTATAGTGAGCATTTTATGTATTGGTTGCTGATCAACATACTAACCTATGTTCTGAAACTTATAGTGGGTGTCTATCCTAATAAAAGAAGAACTGGATTAATTTTCAATAACCATAACTTCCAATGATTGTTATGAAATCTTGTTAGCACTTAAGAGGCTGCAAGTATTAAAACTGTTCACTCGTTTTTTGAAATCACCAGACGATTCGAGGGACAATTATAACCATTCATTGTAAATATATTTTCA